ATGCTGCTATTCTGGACGACTCTGGAGATCAGACAAAGGCGGTCGGTCAACGGTGCCTGTGAACGAAGAGACTGAACAAAGAGACGTTGAGCGGCCCCACCTCCACCCGGGAAAGCAAGAGCTACCTGGGCACCACAAGCGAGGACCTGCCTACCGTACGTACCAGCCCACCTGTGCTTGCCCTGCTATTTTGGCTGACTCACTTCCTGCGTCCAATCACGATGAAGCGGCTCCCTCTCCTGGCGCCTGCCTCGACTCCTTTTGCCCCTTTTGGCAATCACCACCAGCGGCAGCCTCAAACGCCCACCCACCCCATGCCGCCTGGGCTGCAGCTGCCTCATGCAGGCAGTACACGCATCCGCCACTGCCCTGGACACCGCCTCAGACCATGCCGCCTCAGAGCACGTCGAGGCTGCTACATGGCCTCATGCCGTGAGAGCGTTGCGAGCCAGCTTCGATTCATTATCGGGAAACAATGCAGCCAGTGCCTGGTCCAAGACTCTCTCGGTGAGGCACCTTACTGTTCATCGAACGAGCTTCGTGCCGCTGCGGGACCGGCTGATAGACTTTTACCGAGCCCTTCGAACGCCACCTTTACAGACCATGTGCCCAAGACGGTAGTCTGGCCCAGATATCGAGCCACCGACCAGCTGGGTGCACATACTTAGGAGATGGAGAGGTGTGTAGGGCATCGACTAGCTTATCGACACAGCATCATCCGCGGCTCTGAGGACGGGAGCGTCCCGAAGGCTGCGCGCTTCCCGCTTCCCGCTTCTCGCGTCTGATCAGGTGGACTGGCGGTCAAGTCGAGCCTTGCGCTGGGACCCGAACCCAGGTTCGTGGGGGGAACAGGTTGCACAACAGCTATGCAGTTGTCATCTGGCAGCGGATCTGGTACTTCTCAGGCAGGGCCCTCGGCGAGCTGAGTCGTAACGATTCGATGAAAGGCTGTCAGCTGCGCCGTTGAGGCGTATTGAGGCACGAGTTTGTTTGTGTGTGCGCGTGCATGCGTGCGTGTGCCTATATCAAATCGCCTCGATCCAATGAGGTCAAGGCATTGCCCATTCCATTAGACTTTCATAGCGGCATGCTGTGCAACACAGAAATGTCCTTGGCAGATCACTCGACTTTGCTGTCATGGGTTGCGGCTATGCATACCGTCCGTTCTGGCCGGATGTGACATGACCAAAATGCATATTGAACGATGTGGCGTCGTGATGAAGCCTCTCGCAACGCAAAGCATGAAAATGTGATCTCTTGGAAAGTCCTTGGCGACGATAAATGTCTCGGAAAGGGGAGTCCATTACGCCTTGGTGTATCTCACGGCCAAGCACTCAGCCAAAAAGACAGGTCATGATGCCGATTACCAAGTCAAATCATCGAGTGCTTCTTGGATGCTGACATGTAGGTCAACTGAGGACATCATGTTGGTCGCCCTGCCCCCGTTCCGAGATGTTGCCAAGTTTGGCTCCAAAGATGCACAGAACTAGCTCGGCTGAGGTGTGGCCCAAGATTTCACGGAGATTGCGAGATTGCCGTGGTCAGGGCGATGAATGCTCACGTAGCCCTCCATGTTGACTGCAGGGGCAGGTAAGCCCGCATTAGGGGACGACTGGGAAGTCTTGCCATTGGGTTGCAGATCAGGACTGAGTATGTGCTGGCACGTAGCATGTCAGCATGAGGCAGAAATGACTCGGAAGGACGCCAGCGACTCTGGCAAGCTCGAGTGGTCCTGAATAGCGTGAGCTCCAACCTTGTCCGATAGTTCATGCTGAGAATCGCGAACCCCGAGAGGCTCGGTTTGTTGACGTGTGGCCAGGGTTGACAGGATGACTAGCGTCTGCGCGGGTTCGCAATCTGACACGTCCTGTGACGGTGCTTACAAGTATGAGTATGGGTATGATCCACCTAGTAGGGATTCACAGTCAAGTGTATTGGACGAAGGAGGCACACGTCTGCTGCTCGCGATGGTGCGCGTCAAGGTGTCAAGGTGGTTACCCCAGGCCATATTACATAAGCCAACCAGCACAGGCCAGTGACGCAACTGTTTGCACGACAACTGCGATCCTTATCCTTATCGTGGATCTGGCCTTGACCTTGGCCTCGACCTTGGCCTCGTCTTTGACAGCTTGCAAGTTGTTGGCACCTCGACGACTTGTCGTGTTGCGCACAGAACCCCGCCAACCTTCCGAGAACGACCTTCTTCTTCGTCTCCGACTGACCGACGGCTCTTTGTGACATGACAGTTCAGTTGTTGCAACCGCTGCCGCTGTCATGTCCAACTTTCTCTCCCTTCTAGGGTGGTCCTTTCTGCCGAATGTACGTTTCCCTCTGCTCGCGCGAGGCGCCTTGCCTCGAGGTCAAGGCGCCTCGAGGTTGGGGTACCTCTGCCATGGCCGAACTGCCCACTGACCTCTGCTGCAGTTCGTGACCGGCTGGACGCAGACCATCTACTACTCCATCACCATACGCGCCGGCGACCCGCGCCCCCAGCCCGGCTCGGCCAGGTACATCACCCACCGCCGCAGGATCCACTTCCTCGTCGTGTCCCTCTACCTCCTCTACACGCTCTACGAGGCCGACCACGACCTGCGCCGCGACGGCAGCTTCTACGCGGACCTCGGCCTGTCGACGCTCGCGCCCGAAGACCGCGAGATCAAGTCGCGCTTCCGCCGCCTCGCCGCCGTCCACCACCCCGACAAGTCGTCCGACGCCGACGGCGCCTCGCGCTTCATCCACCTCAAGCTCGCCTCGGACACGCTCCTCAACCCGGCGGCGCGCTTCGCCTACGACCGCTTCGGCCCCGAGGTCACGCAGTGGCAGCGCCTCACCACGGTTTTACTATCTTTTTTTTTTTCGTCCTGCAGTCGCTGCTA